ACCACCTAGTTGTAGCCAATTTAAAACTGAAGCTAAAAAAGAACTGGACAAGTGGACAAACAGCACTACAAAGGTTCAATACAGCCTTCCTTCGAGATACTGACAAACTCAATGAATTCAAGATAGCTCTCAACAACAGGTTCCAAGCCTTTCAAGATCTACTGAAGGAAGAAGAAACTACCATGGAGGACAACTGGAAAGGCATCAAAGAAACATTGACTTCAACGTGTCAAGAGGTTCTGGGCCTAAAGAAACACCATCATAAGGAATGGATCTCTATAGAAACACTGGACAAGATCAAAGAAAGGAAGAACAAGAAGACAGCAATTAACAACAGCCGAACACGAGCAGAGAAAGTCCAAGCACAAGCTGAATACATAGAAGCAAACAAGCAAGTGAAGAGGAGCATTAGAGCCGACAGGAAGAAATACGTGGAAGAATTAGCAACGACGGCAGAAAAAGCTGCTAGAGAAGGAAATATGAAACAGCTTTACGATACAACGAAGAAACTATCAGGGAAATACAGTAAACCAGAGAGGCCGGTCAAAGACAAAGAAGGCAAGCCAATCACTGAAATTCAACAACAGCGAAACAGATGGGTAGAATACTTCGAGGAACTCCTGAATAGGCCGGCTCCAATGAATCCACCGGACATCGAAGCAGCACACACAGATCTTCCTATAGATGTCAACCCACCAACGATGGAAGAAATTAGAATGGCCGTCAGACAAATCAAGAACGGGAAAGCAGCAGGACCCAACAACATACCAGCTGAAGCACTGAAATCAGACGTCGAAGTAACCACAAGCATGCTTTACCCTCTATTCAAAAAGATTTGGGAGGAGGAACAAGTGCCAATGGACTGGAAAGAAGGACACCTCATCAAGATTCCAAAGAAAGGAGATCTGAGCAAATGTGAAAACTACAGAGGCATCACACTACTGTCAATACCAGGGAAAGTCTTCAACAGAGTGTTGCTGAACCGGATGAAGGATGCAGTAGATGCCCAACTTCGAGATCAACAAGCTGGATTCCGAAAGGATCGGTCGTGCACAGATCAAATTGCAGCACTACGGATCATCGTCGAACAATCAGTTGAGTGGAACTCGTCACTGTACATCAACTTCATTGATTATGAAAAGGCATTCGACAGTGTAGATAGGAGGACATTATGGAAACTTCTTCGACATTACGGAGTTCCTGAGAAGATTGTCAATATTATCCGGAACTCATACGACGGACTACAGTGCAAAGTAGTGCATGGAGGACAGCTGACAGATGCATTCCAAGTAAGGACCGGAGTCAGACAAGGCTGTCTACTCTCTCCCTTCCTCTTTCTTCTGGTGGTTGACTGGATTATGAAGACCTCAACATCTGAAGGAAAACACGGAATACAATGGACAGCTCAGAACCAATTAGACGATCTGGACTTCGCAGATGACCTAGCCCTCCTATCACGTACACACGAACAGATGCAGATGAAGACAGCCAGTGTAGAAGCAGTCTCTGCATCAGTAGGCCTCAGCATACACAAAGGGAAAACGAAGGTCCTCACATTCAAAGCGGAGAACAGCAATCCAATCACCCTTGATGGCGAAACTCTGGAAGATGTAGAATCCTTCACATATCTGGGAAGCATCGTCGATAGACATGGAGGTTCAGATGCAGACGTAAAGGCGAGGATTAGCAAAGCAAGGGCCGCATTCCTACAATTGAAGAACATATGGAACTCAAAACAACTTTCAACCAATATCAAAGTGAGAATCTTCAATACGAACGTCAAGGCAATTCTACTGCATTAATTCTATATGATCAAATTAATGTAATCAAGTAACAGTAGAATAGTTGAGTTCATGGGTCAATTAAACCTAGACCACCATGGAAAACCTGGAAGCACTGGACAATAGAATAATCAAAATCAATCAGTATGATATGATAAAACTATGACATAAACTTCTCAAAAATGTTTACATAGAACAAAACTAAGTACAACATTTATTATTTAACTTAATGATCAAACAAAGTATCCAATAAAATGGTAAATACTACTTTTCGACTAGAAATATCAAGATTTAGGTTTGAATCTTTATACACTAGAATCCAGTTAAAGTAGATTCAATATACACAACATCTATGGCCTAATAATTAATATCATGTTACATAACAAAATTACTCATTCACTATTTAATAACAATAGATTACACCGTAAACTGAATTTAGATAGATAAGCATTGTTTACTGTTCTCCAGTTTTTAATGTTTGTCTAACTGACGACAGTATATATTCCCAACTATCCTCATATTGAACAATCTTCACAAATCGATCAACCTAATTTGATTAAAATTTTAATAATCTCATATACTAGAAGGGTTTACAAAGAAAACTTAGCTAGTTACACAATCCTATTTTCACAGATTGAAATCATGAGTCAACTGAAGCTAGATCACCATGGAAAACCTGGAAGCACTGGATGGCCGTTTGTGAGATAGCAGCTCACTGAAGACAATAGTATACGGTGGCGCAACTTCATGGATTGGTTGAAGTTAGACATTAACATTGTTGGATGCCGACCGGCTCAGTGGTCTAGTTGGTTAAGCGCTTGGCGCGAGACCGACAGGTCCTGGGTTCGAATCTTGCGGGGTGCAGGACCGTGGGTGCGCACTGCCTGAGGAGTCCCATACAAGGACGAAACGGCCGTCCAGTGCTTCCAGGATTTCCATGGTCGTCTAGCTTCAATTGACTCATGATTTCAATCTGTGAAATTTCGAAAATCTGCACAAACTCCTGATAACAACCCTATTTTCTTAAATCATCTATCTATCTATATATATATGATTACAAAATAGTTCTGAATTTGTACTAATCGTTTGATTTCTTCATGAAATAGAAAACCGCAAAATCAATATCATAAGGAAGTCTTCATTATATTTTCATTATCCTGTATTTTATAGAATGAGCATGACAATTAAAGTAATACCTAGTAAATTTTTGTGCTTATAAATTATATTTAACATATTAATACATTAATTTTTCGATGTAGTAACTTTATTTTTGAGTTGACATATTTTTTGTCCACATTGAAATATATTTCAAAAATAAACTACGACTATTCTTATCGATTGTGTTCGTTCAACTGAAATGTGTAAAATTACACTAAACTACATTTAAATTAATAGCTTTTACAAGACAAACTACTATCTTAGATAAATCGTATTCTTATCATTAATTTAATTCCTTACAAAAAGTCAATTCGTGAAAGACAATAACAGTTTCTAATCACCAATACAACCTGACCTAATACTCCTTTTGAAAAAAAAAACACAACTAAAATTGAACTCGAAAGTAGTTTGTTCATTTTAACTAAGTAAAATTACGAAGTGAACGTACGAAATTCAGAATGGTTATTTTTTTAAAAAAAAGAGATCATTAATCTTCAGCTTTTAATGAAAAGCTATAAATGTCACAAAGAATTGATGTATCTGGATTTGCTGTGAGTTTTATCAAATATTTGGTTGAGGCATAGTTGTCAGAAGTATGGTAAAGAAGTGTGAGATGAGCAATATCGATGATTGAGAAATTGAAACATCACTTATTCATTTAAATATTCTACTGCTAAATGTCATTGGGAATGTTCGGGACACAAATTTGACCTAAAATTACTATTTTAAAACTGAGTCGATTTCTGTTCAGGTAAAGATAGAAATTCACTTATTGTTAATATCAGTAGAAAAAGGCTTTCATACATTGAACATACGACTGGTTGTAAATCATAGTGATATTACTAATTAATATACTCGATTAATGCTAGTAATATTACTTAATAAAAATGAAATACATGGATACTAAAGTAACAAGAGTTTCAAGATAATCCAAAAAAAAATTATTTGCTGCAGATAAACTAAGGGATAATATCTTGCAGGGTTAATGTGTGAAACTAGTATCCATGACAATTATATGCTATAAAGCTAGTGTGCTGCACTGCAAAATTCGGCTAGTTCTTACACAGTGATGAGATACAGTACACATTAAAATGATTCAAGATTATGACATCATGAAGATATCGATATGCTTTTATCATTGTTTTATGTCAACCGACATTATTTTTATTAACATATTAGATAGTTCTTTATGAATAGTCCATTCTCTATGATTCTGATAGGTAGGAGAATCTGAACGATAGTGGAATTGTGATTCATTGGTTGAGAAATGTAACGTTCATCTGTTGTTCTGAGTTCGAACACGATCTCACATATGATATGACCAGTCACATACTATCACCATCTATCACACACACTATATGATTTAAATTCTTACTCCAAAAACTGTATGTTACTCAGTTATTAGTTAAAATTATTATACATGAATAAGGAGTGTATTCATAATATCTAACGAATATCAATAACCATGCACAACAATATATACTACCAATAAATATTTTTTCATTATCGTCTAAGATAAAAATGTTGTAATAAGAAATTTTCGGATTTCATAACATAAGAAATTTTATTTGTTATATGGCTGGAGGCAACTGACAGGAACATTTGGAAGTGAGTTTCCTGTTAGTGGGAACTTGTAGGCAAAGTGAATCTAAAATCTTGAGGAAGACGATGCTCCTCGTGATATTAGAATGGGAGCCATCCAGAGATCACAGTAATCTAGCATTCGGGTCACGACTAACCTTTCATAAGATAGATGATTTTCAACTGATTTATCACTGAACAAATTAAATTATTCTATATCCTTAGTGCTTATCGTATTGTATTAAAGAGTACTGAAATCACGAGAAAGCAGATACGCCTAGCTGTCAAGCAGTAAACTGGCAAAAAAGCCAGCTTTAGAACTTCTTGATTTTCTTCAACAGGTTAAAATCAAAACATAATCTACAGGCGAAATCAGACGAATTAGATTAGAAGGGGAAGTCACAATGTAAATTGATCAATGGATACTCCATGACCGATCAATATAAAATTGTGTTGTCTAACCAATATTACTTGAGATAACGTTACAGTGTGATTCTACTTTGATCCCCTTTAACAATTCTATTTCACATAGACATTGTTCGCTAATAACAACGATAATACAAAACAAATTTATCTTAATTGTTGAACTTTTCTTGCTTAAATAAGAGATGACATAAGAAAAAAAGAAAGATAAGGAGAGCATCAAAAGTTTTTAAAAAAATTTCATTGTATCATGATTATTGTTATTATTATTATCATGAACGAAATTGCGTTGGCTTTATTTTGTATCGGCCAGAAATATCATAGGAATTAAACAAAATGGTTTATCTTTTAAATTAAAAAAACAAGATAAATAAACAAAATAGAATGATAAGAAAAATACAAACAAAACAGTGATACATAAGAAAGAAATCAACACAAACAATAAACACATGTCATAGCAATCACAAATGACAGATAAAGAAAATGATAGCAATAATAATTTTCTGATATATTTCAGGGGGAATGAAGAGGGGGCCAAAAAACTAACAAAATAATTATTAAAACAATAAGTCTATTAAAATAATCATGATTTCCTAACTCAATCAATACATAAATAAAAGATAAAATAATGACATTGATCGTTGTATAATCTCAGTAATGGATAATAAACACAAACAAGTGTATGCGTATGCAAGGTGGGATGGGACTAGGCAATAAAGTTTCCTAACAAAAATATAATAAAAAAAACTGTTTGCAAAATAATAAGTCAAAGAAAGAAAGCATGAAAGACAAAACCAGAAACAAAAACAGTAAGAAGAATGAGAATAACCAAATAAAAGTGCCAACGGTACTTAATAGTAACACGCACACATACAGACAGTGATACAAGCAAGCATACAAACACATTTAGTAGATAACATAGTAATCATCATTATCAACGCTTTTTCGATTTGGTTCAATAGATCAATGCACTATTATTAGTGAAATTGTCAAATGTATACGACTGTTGATGGTGATGATGTAATAATAACGGTTGAGACTGTTGCTGTTGTTGTTGTTGATAATCAAGATAATATTGACTATTTTGATGATAATATTGTGGATCAAGACTTAATAATTCATAATTGTTGTAACATTGAAATCTATTAGAATTTTGAAACATATAATTTTTACCGTAATCCATGAAATCATCATCATCATCCTCATCATAATTATCGTTATCAATATGATTATCCGTATAATCATATACATGTTTATAGAAGTGATATTGGTCATTATTAACTGTAGAAAAATAACGATTATTTATGAAATTTTTGAATTGTAATCCATTTATCATATGATTGAATGGTTCATTAGAATCACTGAGATCATTAGAGATCGGATTGAATTCATTTGTATCTTTATTGTTAATTGGTGGATATAAACGAGCTGATATGGAGAAAATACAAAATTAAGAAGAGGAAACAAAAACAATTATATTTTCATGTGAATACGAATAAACACTTTTTTTCTTCTACGATCGGATGATCTCTATAAACAAACACTGAGTGATTGGGGTGTTCACATATATAACTGATTTGGAATGATTTAAATGTGGTAAGAAAGGGTAATAAACTCTTCTGAATGGATTGTCCGAGTCTCGCTTTCGCCAAATTCATGAACTCAGAAGTGCATGGTCGAAATCATATTTAACACTGTTGTAGCTTATACTCAACCAATTATTAAGCAAAGAGTTCATGATGATGATATTTGTTGAGGCTTTATACAAACTGCTTACTAGTTAATTACATCATTGTTATTAAAGATTACTAATTCGCTAGTATGTTGTTTCACCTGTTCGTCAAATTTGTTGACCACGATCTCGACACCATAAATTTCTCTGGTTTCAACCTTATGATCTACTTTTTACAAAGTCTATATAATATTCCTTGAAATGAAAGAAAAAACACAACTGATCTGAAACAATTTGTAGAAAGATCAGATACTTTTTTAATTTGTAAAGGTTGTCGAATGAATCCTCAAATAGGCTAACATGAAAACGTTTGAGATGGCTACCTTATTCTAATTTTTCATAGATGGTTCAGTTTATTGTCAGCTTGTAATGAAGACTATGTTGAACGATATAATAGTTAATCTTTATTTGTTAATTTAAATATGTCAAGTGTGATCAGCCATCGGGTAGATAACTCAGTAACTATGCAAACGTTAGTGGATTTGAGTTAAAGACATATTGTGTATTTCTTAGTGTTAGTACCTGGCTGTCTAAACTGATAGAGGTGAAATACAAAATCACAATTGTGTGGTTGAAAGTTTATTATTTACAGTAATTTCTAACTAACAACAGCAGGAAATCTGTATTTTATAAACTTATAATCTAAAAAGCTACTTGCATAAAACAAAATTAATCTGAAGTAGTTTGACTGTTATTCAAAGAAAAGAGTAATGGAACAAATAAAAATATATAAATAATATTAAACAATAACGTCATATATCGATATACTCACGCTTTTTATGAGGAATAAGATACACATCGTCGAATTCTGTATGGACAACATCATTAATTACTGGACAAATATGAGCCTGTGGAAGAAATGTTGGCCTGTGACCCTTTGCCGAATAATCAAAAATATTCACGGAAGTATTACTTGATTCGATATGTGGCTTTTGGACAAAACGATGTGAATTTGAGTTATTGAAACAGCGGCCATGACAATTTGCGTACGGATGATAATGACTGTGATCTGAAAATTCAGACATTTTTATATTATTGAGTAGATTGTGGTTAGGTGGATCCCTCTGATATTCACATTGTTCAGAAGAACTGAACAGTTTATTGGGTAAAATTTGTTTGAATGCCTAAAGTAATATAACGAGAATTTTAGTTGGAATTATTGTTGTTAGCATGTGAAAAAGAAATTTCTAATACAAAATGAGTAAAACAGAAAACTAGAGGGATTTTCTAAAGGAAAATAGAGGTTTTAATAAATAATTTATTTAGACATTCAGATTATGAAATCCTGAATTCACAAAAAAAAATTACAAACGAAAAGGATCTACTTTGGCAAAGCAAATTTTTGAACTTTTGGAGTTTCGTTGACAAATGTTTCAAAATGTAATACAAGCTCCACGCCATTGCCATGAACATATATTCAGATAAATGGAAAGTAGTACGATATATGTGTATGGTATTTAGTATTGTTTAGGTTGTAATATATTATATTATATTATTGAATAAAGCCATTAATAATAATAATATATATTTTTTGATAAGTATAAAAGTCTAATTCCATTAGCTGTTATCATTATTAGTACCAACATACATTTCTATTGTACTAAGGAAGGTTATCTGTGTACGAATCACACTACCACTGATAAGTTATCGAGTAGTGGTGATGATGAATACAAGCATTTTACTATAATGTGTTGCAGAGATTGTTTACTTTTAAGTTTCATATTACGGACTGATACTGATTAAACAATCTCTGGAAGTAAGAAAACACTAAACAGCCATTTCGTCCTAGTATGAGGGTCCTCAGTGGTGTTCATCCACTATTCTGCCGTGGGTTAAACCCAGCTCTTTCATGCACTGGTTAGCTGCACAATGTGACGAGTTAATTGAAGTTGAACATGTGAACTGTTGGATCCCAGTTCAATGGTTTAAAGCTCATTGACTTGCCAAGAGACTTGAGTGTCCTGAGGTTGGTGGTGAATGAAACTGAGAAGTCCTATGCTCAGACGAAACAACTGTCCAGTACATCATGGTTTCCTGTGGTTATTTAACTAAGAACATTCTGTGATATAAACAATAAAATTGGGAATATTTGGCAATTTGACAAAATAGAATAATAGAAAAGATTTTCTTGAAACATCTTCATGAAAAAATCTATGAAGGATTCCAGTTATGCAGTAATAAATGCTATCAATAATTTACTGAATCTAGATAAGTAAAAGGAGAATAAAGCAAATAGCTTTATAGTTATGTTTCATATTAGGAAGAAAAGTATCTCAGAATCATTATTATATATTAGATAATAATTATATTGACCAATATTTTTATTGCATGTTAACGATCCCGACCATTGCTGCTATCTTGGCGTGGTGGTCAAGCCTGCCTATCGTAATGAACCAATCGGACTATCCTGACTGGAACGATCGTTCCTCAAGGTCCTACCATGTCAGGCAGGTCGGTTGAAGAGCGGTAAGACTAAAAGCAGCAAACCCAAGATCTGAGGGCGAAGTCATACTGCTGACTGTAGAGAGGTGTGGCTGCAGTAAGGTCTTTCCTTCAGACAACAAGCATAACAGCGGTGCTGTCGTCCCACAAAGGAAGAGCGGAGTTAGAAAAGGTTGATCTTAAAAATGTACACCTTCACTTATCCCACAGATTTCCGTCTCCGGCGGTCAGGTCACAACAATTGCGGAGCTAACACGAAAACTATTCGCGAAAAGTTCGTGTGTGACAGGCCTTAAGCAGTTGTCCCTTGGACACTGCGGTCAAGCTCTCAGGTCGCTAAGACCACCATTAACCCAATTTACTTTGCAGGTACTTGTAGAAGAACCCTTCCGAGGTGTAGGAAACTGAGAAGTGATAACTGCCCTCATACCTCTAATACTGTAATCATAATCAGTCTCTCTCTTCAATTCCCATTATTCCTCCTATGTCGACTTTCAACTCTAAACATACTCTTTTGACTTTCACCATGGCCAACGATCCTAGTACACAAAACACTGTCCAAGGTCTACTGAAACCTTGCTTAGAACTACACATTGGAGCCTTCAAAGTGGGTATCCTGTGTCAAATCGGCCAGCAAGTCTCCTTGACTAAAACCCTAGAATTTCATACCGCTGATGTATGTTGTGTCTCCGAAACACACATACAGGATCCTAATGTGGTCACTCACTTGACATTATCTCGCCAAAACGGAGAGCCGACAAGATACACCCTCCGGTTACCTGGCGACCCGATGGCCAGTTCCCGTGGACTGGCAGGTGTAGGCACAGCACTAAGTACGACGGCAGAAGAAACATTACTAGGATGGATCCCTGTTAACAGTCGCCTATGTGCTGTTCGGATAAACGGCTTCGTAAGGATAAAGACACACGTCGTTGCCTTTTCGTCGTTTCTACCTACACTCCCACTAACTGCAGCCCAGATCAAGTGGAAAATGAATTCAACAGAAGGCTTTCTGGACTTCTTTAAAAAGCTCAACACTCAGACATAGTGCCTGTAGCAGGGGACTTTAATGTCCAAGTAGGTAGCTTAAACCAAACAGAAAGACATTTAGACGGGTGTTTTAGTATTACGGCTCATCGAACAAATAATGGTGACCGTCTGTTGCAACTTTGCTCAGACAAACGTTTATTTTTAGCAAACACTAATTTTGAGCATAAGGAGAGACATCGTCTAACATGGCGATGCCCTGCACAAAACTAACGATGGAATCAAGTAGAACATATTGCCATCGGTCATTGTTGGAGAGGCTCGATAGAAGACTGTTGCTCGTTCTGGAATACATGTTTAGACTTGGATCATGCTCTAATACTAGCACACATTTGCTTGCGCCTCACTGGACACATAAAAACACATTAAGACCCATTAGAGTTGAAATCAGTGACGAGAAAGCCATAAGTAGATTCCAGGAACAATTAAAGTTACACTTAAGCAGTTCTGAAAACGAAGTTAACCCATATGTTGTTTAGGAAGATATCCGAACGGCTGTGGATACAGCAGCGACACCTATTAGTGAAAAACCAGTGGGATTCTACAAAGTCTATTGCACAGATGGATTCTCGTAAACTCATCCCATCGGGCTCTGAACACGATAAAGAACGAAAGCAAATCAGATCTAGGTTAACCAAAAGTATAGGGAACGATTGTGAATAGTGGTGGGCAACGAAAGCAAAAGAGGTGGAAAAGGCAGCGGCTTTAGGCAACACCAGACAGCTTTCCAGACTTACAAAAGGATCTGGAATTAAGAAGACAAGTGTGAGACGACATCAGAAAAAGATGACACTTATCTGCTCTCAGTCCAGACATTTAGAACGATGAGCGGAACATTTTGAATAGCAATTCAGATGGCCCTCAGCTACCCACTATTCTGAAACAGCCTGAATGGAACATTAAAAAAGCCTTCTGACTCTAATTGGAGTTCGAAGCTGTAGATAATTTGAGACGAGAAAGAGCAGTTGGTCCAGATGCCTTTAAAGATGGTTGTCCAGTTTTAACAATTAGGTTGAATAATATTTTAGCTAAAACCCGGGAACTGAATGTAATCCCATCTGACTGGTCGCAATCATTAAATGACCCAATATATAAGGAGGGGTCATCCAGCGATAACCATATAAGGATTAGTTTGACTAAAAGTATCTAAAATACTAGCATCAATAATTATCGGGCGCCTTACAAAGACACTTGAACTGCAAACACGAGAAAATCATGCTGATTTCAGACCTGTTCGTGGCTGCATCGACCACATAATTACCGTTCGTTAGGTTCTAGAACACAGGCACACTTATCGGTGCTTAACAATGATAGTTTTTTAACTTCAAAACAGCACTTAACTCTGTAGACCGAGAGGTTCTGTGGTATTGTCCATGATTGCAAGGTGTACCTCAGAAGTACATAAACCTTGTGAAGGCTCTTTACTCGAACACTAGGAGTCCAGTCAAAGTTTATGGCGAACTGTCATCTGATTTCGCGACTTCAATTGGTGTCCGGCAAAACTGTCCATTACCTCCGCTTTTGTTCAATTCCATCATAAACCTACGGCTGGAATTAACGTTCTCGTCGACTGAATATTCGAGAATTGATATCCCCCTCAAAATGTGAATTTTTGCTTCAGGACTGGCCTGCATCAACACCTGAACTAACGATAGGGAGTGAAGTAGTCGAATGAGTCAACAACTTCACTTATCTTTGATGTCCGATCAGTTCTAATGGGTTGATGCCAAACGAAATCTCAGCAAGTATTCAAAAATCTCGTTTAACTTTTCTCAACTAACGTCACCTATGGCTAAGGCAAGATATCCGTCTATCAATTACAGGACGAGTACACTGTGCGGCAGTTCGTTCTGTTCTACTTCACGTCTGTAAAAAATGACCATTAAAAGTAGAAGATACTCGTAAGCCATTAGTATTTGACAACAGATGTCTTAGAAATATTGCTCGCATCCGCTGGGATCACCTGGTAAGTAATAGTGAGGTTAGACACAGGGTATTAGGAAATGATGGTGAACCAGTTGATGAGGTTGCGAACCTTCGTCGACTGAGATGGTCGGGCCACGTGTTACGTGTGCGTGAACATCGACTATCATGACGCACAATGCTGACTAGTGTTGGGGATGGTTAGAAGAAAGTTAGGGGCAGTTAAACCAAATCGTGGCATCAGTCCTTGGAGTTACTAACGTCTGGTCTGTGCCATGTTGTTAGATGCAGACTACTTGCTTGGCGTCCGAGCCACTATCGTAACCAATGGTTGGAGATCATGGGTTACATGGCTGAGAATCGATCACGATGGCGTCGGTGTATACACTATTTGTCTGTCCTTAAACGATGAAATTAAAGTTGCTTCATACCTTTCTTTCTATGAACTAATTCTTTCTTCCTGTTTTATATCCTTATACACAATCTTTCTTTTATATATTACTACCATTGAAGTAACTTTTCCTATGAATTTGTTTTTCATCTTGTTGTGCTGATGAGGTGTGGCAACTTGAACCGAATCATATATGTGCCTGGTCCTACGTTGTAGCTGACTGACTGTAATAATTATGAGTAATACAAATGAAAGTGAAGTTAAGTGTGGTATAGTGTTATTAGATGATTTTTAATTACTGAAGAAACAGGTTCAAGCTAATTACCACTTGAATTAACTCGAAAGAGTAGTGACCATACAGTAAGTTTTTGTACAGAAAAATCATTGTATAATTAAAGTCAATCTGTAAAATAAAAACTTAATTCCCAATAAACACTAATATATGTTTATTGGGCAAAAAACATTTACATGTTCAGACATAGGCTACTCACAATTTATTCCCTAAAGTGCTACAAATCAATAAAAAAGAACTATCGTTAATAAACAAGCAGCTAATAACCACTGTATTATTTTAAATAATGTAAGTTAAATTGATAAGTTATTGGATTGATTAAATGAATCCGAAAACATTTTTCTGTTCTTATCTTCTAGTACCGTTGTATTTATAATGATAAAATATCGATTTCAATGTATATAGAACTATATTCAAATACTTTAAGTCTTGGAAAGTAATAAGGATATATTAAAAATGATATGTATTTTCTTATTGTTTCTATTCAAGAGTGGAAATGATCAGTCTCTACTGGATTGCCTAGATGACGCCACTCAATTACAAGTTCTGGTAAAGTTAGATTGTGGTTAGTTTTGGGATCCGTAAGGAGTGTTTCTCTGTGTGTGTGAATTGTCAGTAAATGTACCTAGATTTGGATTGACGTTCACACTGAGACTCGAGATCAGTACTTTTCATTTCAAATGCCAACGTATCATCCACTATTAAGCTACTGAGTTCACATATCTGGTCTGTTTGAAATGTATGGATAACAACAAAAATAAAACACGAAGTCTTACACATAAATTCGCATTCACTATCTTCAACTATGTTTTATACAAAAAAACGAGAACCATACGCCAGTGACAAAAAAGCATTTTTTGTCCTATAAACCTTGAATATTATTAAAATGTAAGTATGTGAATATAATGTATATTTGTATGACAGGTCAATTGCCCTGAGGATATTACTCAAAAAGGTCTGAAATGAATATGCGATTGAGAAATATAAATGAGTTTATATACCAGATTGATGTATACTGACTGATATGTTGAACATGAATTGTGCAAATATCATAGAATAATGAATAAACTTACTTGACTTGTTGACTGTGATCCCACATTACAACTAACTACAGGATTCATTCTAGAATCAGTTGTATTTGTTGAACATGAATTACCAAACTTATTATAAATTACATCTTGAAGTAAAGACGAACTATGGGTACACAATTTAGTCGTGGAACAAGATGAATTTGTAATATTTTTCTTCATTGAATCAGAACTAGTATTATTAAGATTAGCGACAACAGAATGTTCAGAATGATCGAACAAATGATGTTCATCTGATTTCGTTTTTAGTCCGATTGTACTTAAAGTGAAAACTTCTTGATCATTTGTAATACGTATGTCCTTTTCTCTTGATGTAGTAGCATAACTTTGAAAATGTTTAGAGGGAGATAAAGAAATGGATGAATTAAATGTTAGTCCAGACGATATTTCTTTTGCATTAGATGGTGAAGATGATGGAATCAATGCATCCAATTGATTTGGTTCACCTGACGGGAATATAGGATAGCCTAAACAAAATATAATAGCGAACAAATAGTCTATTAGAATACTACATTTTCTAGAAAAAAATATTGAAGCAGCTAGAACTTAAGAATCCGAGTGAAATCACAAATAAGAGCGGGAACAATATCGAATATTTCTTTAGATTCAACAGTTTTCTTATTTATGTAAGTCTGAAATGAAATTTATAGTTAAACATCAATTACAGTCTATGCATCTATGTGATCATGTCCATACTTATGCCTGTTACCCCCAATGGAGCATAGGTCGTCGACCAGCATTCTCCAACACACTCTGTCCTCGGCCTTCTTATCTAGTTCTATCCAACTGTTGTTCATTCTTCTCATGTCTATCTCCATTTCTCGACGTAATGTGTTCTTTGGTCTTCCTCTCTTCCTTTGGCCTTGAAGGTTCCTTGTGAGGGCTTGCCTTGTGACACAGTTGAGTGCTTTCCTCAATGTGTGTCCTATCCACTTCCGTCGCTGCTTCTTGATTCCTTCCTCTGGTGGTATCTGGTTTGTTCTCCCCACAGTAGGTTGTTGCTGATAGTGTCTGATCAACGGATCCGAAGTATTTTACGTAGACAGCTGTTAATAAACACTTGTATCTTCTGGATGATGGCTTTTGTATTTCGCCAAGTTTCCTCCCCATACAGTAGAAGTCTTGAAATTTGTATTGAAAACTCTGACTTTGGTGTTGGTTGACAGTTGTTTTGAGTTCCAGATGTTCTTCAGTTGTGAATATGCTGTTATTGCTTTGCCGATCCGCGCCTTCACATCTGCATCAGATCCACCATGTTCATCAATGATGCTGCCCAAATATGTAAAGGTTTTTACATCTTCCAAAGCTTCACCGTCAAGTGATTCGATTGGTGCATGCTGTGTTGTATCGAAGAATCTTGCTGTCCATCGTATCCCATGCTTCCCCTCAATGAAGTTGATGTAGAGTGATGAATTTCATTCAATTGATTGTTCTACAATGATCCGTAGTGTTGCGGTTTGGTCGGCACACGATCGATTCCTACGGAATCCAGTCTGTTGGTCTCGAAGTTGGGCGTCTGAGGAATCCTTCATTCTGTTTAACAATACCCTGTTGATGACTTTTCCTGATACTGAGAAAAGAATGATGCCTCCGTAATTCTCACACTTACTGAGATCGCCTTTCTGTTGAATCTTGATCAGGTGTCCATTTTCTCAGTCTGTTGGCAGTTTTTCTTCATTCCAAATCTTGCTGAAGAGAATGTTAAGTATCTTTGCAGTTACTCCCACGTCTTCTTTCAGTGCTTCTGCTGGAATATTGTCTGGTCCCGCTGCTTTGCCGCTCTTGATTTGTCTGATAGCCATGCTGATCTCTTCAATTGTTGGTGGGTCAACATCGATTGGGAGGTCCGTGGATACTGCTTCGATGTTGGGTGGGTTCAGTGGGGCTGTGATCAAGTCAATGGTGTAAGGAAAAAACTACCAACCTATTTCTAGGACAATAATCTTTTTTTCCTGAATATCGAAGAACAGAAATGAGCTTTCGGAGAAAAGAAAAACTAGTGATTTTATTATCAAGGTTAAAGTTGATAACTTTAAATGAAGATGTTAACACTTTAAACCTACAAACAGACCCCTATACCATTGTTGTTTTTGTAAATAACTGCTTACACAAGATCGATGCCATAAACTATGCTTCGTATAACATATCTAGACACAAATGATTGATTTGAAACAGATTAGTACATTTTCTTATATTTGAGATGAATGGTATTTGTGTATACTAATTAGTGTATAGTATTTCGAACCTACAGGAAAGAGAAAGTCATAGTAATCATGGTCAGACGACCATGTGTTTACTACGGGTATTATTTATACTTAACATACACAAAGGTGTGATTAGAAAACAAAGAATGTGAAAATGTAGTATTGAAGTTTATCATTTCACCACATATCGCTAGTGAGTAATTTTAAAATGGAAGTTGACATAGAGGTGGTTAAATTATTAGACTCTGGCAATCACTGATTTAATATACGGTTCATGTCGCTTTATACCAGTTACTTTGATTGGCTTAGCTTGATGAATAATAAAAAATCGATTAGACAGGATGAAACACAATTAACAAGGCAGAAAAAAACCATTGTACAGACTCGTGCCTGTCTCTTTTGTAAGAAAAAAGAGGAAATAAATAGTAGTTAATTTTTTTTTCAATCAAGTCATCCATTAGGCGTTTGGGTATGTATGAACTATTGAAAGTACCTGGTCGCCTAAACCGAAGGTGGAGAGGAATTCGAAGCTAAAGTTTTGTGGGTGAAAGTTGAACGCATAAACCACTAGGCCACTACTCTATTCTAGTAGGATATGAAAAAAGAACATATGTAGTGTTATGCAATAACTTCTAATACTTCTGTTGTGAACTAGTAAAAACACAAATTTTAGAACAGATTTTTCTAGAAATATAGTAAAAACGGTAAATTTTGTATGAAAGCAGCTGACTAACTTTGAACATAAGATGATGCTGGAACCGAGATGTATTGTGATTCATATGAATCGGATACAAAATTAGTAGTTCCATACTCGCATTTCATATGATTACTGTTATTATCAGGCTTTGTCACGAGGTCTTGTTGACCAGTTAGTGTTGTTTTTAATAGTTGAGATGTATATATTGATGAATCAGACGTAGAATCATTATATCCATGTAAATGTTCATAGTTAATTAGTTCGGATTGAGGTTGCTTGACAACATTGAGACGATTGGATGTCTCTTTTTCAATAGTCAATGAACTTTCTGATAAATCACTGCAATGATAGAAACTGTTCAAAAGATAAATAAATAAATAAACATCAAAAAGAAGGAAATTGATAATATGAAATATGAGAGAGGGAAGTAATTTGTTCACTATGATACCAAACTGATAATTTACGAATACGTAAATAATTGAAAACAATTAAAATTTGAACGTATGTTCAGTGGTTGAGTTATGACTGAGCTGTTAAAATATGTTTCACATTCAGTTTTGTCGTAATATACTCAAGGATAATGTAACTTTACACCACAGATCATATATAAATGAATTCAATCTAAATTTTATTGTACACTTTAACCTGAATTTTGTTCTGATATGTTTACTCAGTTTGAGCTGAATATGTACGCGGTTAGGGTATATACTAATATATGACGTTCTGTTCATCATCTTACTAGAAAGTATTATCATTTCGTTGCATTTATGAACTCTTTATGACAATGTATATTTGTGTGGACTAATATAATCAGTTATGAATTGAACAATACTGTTAAACCGTGTGAGAAGAAGAATACTATAGTACAATTACTACTGTGGTAGGAACAAAGCACTGATAGAAGGAATGTTTATTTAGTGAAACTATTCCTTATATCCTTAAAATTACAGAATGTTTATGCAATTTGTACACCTAGTCTTCAGTTATCCATATGCATTATGTTGTATGTTTTAAAATCCAAACTGATTCTAAACTGACTTCTTTCATGATCTCCAAATTATTCTGCATACGCTGTTCTTTTAAGTCTCCTGAAAGTTTTTTCTTTAGATTTCGATTGTAGTAACTTCCACGTGATGTCCCGCTACATAATATTTATAAAGTTATCTTATGAGTTGGATTCACCACATTATTATTACCATTAGTTCACATATTTACTATAAAGCTTAAAGTAAACATGAAATAGTTTTTAATGAAAATTATGTAAATTTTAATTTATTACACATTGATCAAGACATAATCTAAGGAATTCAGACCACATAGTATTTATGCCAACTAATTTCAATTATATTACATTAACAATAACATACAAAAAGTTGACTGATTTTTATAATAAGTAGTTAGACAAAATTCTATTCACATATTGTATCGTGAAATTAGGTTACATAAATGAAATAGAATAAAAGAATCAATATTAAAAATTAGAAATTCTGAATCATAAAATCGAATTAATAAATTAAAGTATTTATATAATTTAATGTATAGAAAAGAATTCGTCTCATTATTGTTAAAAAAAAAATTTTTTTTTAAGGAACCGGATATCAACAAGAGAATATTTTTATATTGACCAATGAATAATAATAATAATAACACTTAAATATGAATTTTAGAGAGTTGAACAAGAATTAATTGAGTAAATCTATCATGGATATAATAATTTCATTGTTATTTATTACCAAAAAGCAAACAAACACACACAAATCAATAAATAATTCGAACTTTTCTATTACATAGTAACAAAAACTGGAAATCATATAAATAACATGAATCTATTATAATTTATTAATTTAATTGAAGAAATTCTTTCAACTTCATTCATATTTGTAGAAGAAGAAATATTTTATTCTTCTTGAAAAGAATACAATATACAATGAAGAGAATGAATGTATTCCACGTGAAAAATAGTCTATGATTGTGACTATAACGAATAAAACAAACAAACAAATAAACTAATGGTCTTATCCGAAAAAATAAAGTCACACGTTATTATTTATTAAAAAATAATAATAATTACATATGAATAACTAAATGTGAACTAATAAGAAATAACATTGACTTTTATTTTCCTCTGGTTTCTATGTCACTTGCTCTCTCTCTCTCTCTCTTGTCTAGAATAGGGTGTGTTCTATGTTTTCTTTAAAATACCATATTTTAATTAGTTACCAAAGTGAGTAGAAATAAAGAGAAAAAAATGTAGAAAATCATCAAACATGTCACCTGTTTAATTCATATTAGATAGAATTATAATGAATTAATGAAAAGTATATACAAGTAAAGGTTGAAGTATTATGAAAAAAAGAAAATGAATTGTATGTGAAAAATGTCACGCTACAAAATGATAAATATATGGTGAATAATTTTTTTAAATATTTAAGATGTGGAAAAATAAAATATAACCTTAGTGAAATAAACAACATCGTGGTTGCGCACTGCTGAAGAGTCCCACAATGGGACGAAACAGCCGTCCAGTGCTTCCAGGTTTTCCATGGTGGTCTAGCTTCAATTGACTCATGATTTAAACTGTTGAAATTACTACAATCTCTACAAAATCCCTTCTGATGTTTAAAATATTTGAACATTTCGTGAAATTCTTTATTCAATATATATTAGAATATTAAATGTTGAAGAATTTCTGGTTAAGTAATTTATTATTATTTTTAATTAAGGAACAAATACAGTTGTATATCGATGACGAAACTAAACAAAAATAGCTTAATTAGTCATACTTGCTTTGATGGTGATATTATATGAATTCTCGAGTTGAGATTAAAAGATTAAGATCTCTGTAACATTGAAGAATAAGAGACGAACAATCTCAAATACCGGAACAAGCGATACAGGTTACCAAAGATTCATGTTAGAAAAAAAATATACTAAGGTTGGTGTATTAAAAAACTACACTAAGCGGTGTAAGTAGCATTTAGACCCCCAGAATGATTTTAAATCGAAGATAGGGCCACTATGCAGATTACTTTTTTGGCAATAAAAACATACTTATAAATAAGTTATTAACAGGAAATCAGAATGACTAAGTGTCAGAAATGAATAGAGGACGTCAGTAAATCAGTCACAACGTAGAACCTACACGTATGTATATCGGTTCAAGTTTCCATATCCTATTAGCACAGATGTCAGTCTGTAGGTCTTCTTCTGGAGGTACCTGAAAAGGAAATTGGATTAGAGGTGGTCTCAGTGACCTGAGAGCGTGACCGCAGTGCCCAAGGGACAACTGCTTGAGGCCGGTCGCACACGGCCTTTTCGTGGGAGGTTTTTGACGTGGTAGCTCCGTTCTTCAAAGGGCCTTACCGCCGGAGACGGAAATCCGCGAGGTAAGGTGAGGTGTGCATTTTTAGGGTCGACCTTTTCTAACCCCACCCCTCCTTGTGAGAAGGCAGCATCGCTGTCATGATGGTTGTCTGAAGGAAACACCTTACTGCTGTCACACCTCTGTACAGTCAGCAGTACGACTTCGCCTTCGGACCTTGGGTTTGTTGCTTTTAATCTTACCGCTCTTCAACCGACCTGTCTGACATGGTAGGACCTTGAGGAACGGTTGTTTCAGCCAGTATAGCTCGGTTGCTTCATCACGATAGGCAAGCCCGACCACCACGTCAAGGTAGCAACAACGGTCGGGAGTCTGTAGGTCTAATTATTGGGTATCGCATGATGTGGCAAGTTAAGCTAATGAATTATTAGTGTATTTAAGATTCTCATTAGGACATCCCAAAGCATAATTTGACCGAAATATTTCGTCTTAATTATGTTACAACTCTCGGGTTTCTACGTCTACATGAATGGGACGTTAATTTACCTTAGACGAATATCTACACTAGATTCCCTTCCAATGTCTATTCTACAGGACTTCAACACAACTCAGATTAAGAACACGTGATTAGCCTGACCAGAACGTAAGTATATTTCCACACCAAAAACCGACACACAACAATAATGATTATATATATATATATATATATATATTACTTTGAGAAAAATTCTACTGACAATTTCATCACACAAACAGATTAAAGGGATATCAACAAATATCTTTAAAAAAACAATATGTACCATTTGATCACATGGAGGTGATAGATATTCATTCATTCCACAGACGGTTTACACAAAGTAAACATATTATTACTGTACACATATTGTAGCATCAATTTACGTAATTATACCAGTTAATAAATTTAATTCTTACCGTTTAACGTTTAACAACATGTTATAAAACCATGTAAGACCCAATAAAATTTTATTGACTATAAGATCTATGAAAACTATGAAGTGTATAACATTTCTAATGAAAGTGGACATAAACTAGAGGAAATAGCTACTAATCTATTATTTATCTACTTATTTATTTGAACACATAAATATGGGTACAAGAGGGCACCAGATACATATGAGCCACACAAATCTCTTTTGATTTATGTGTGGGCTTTGATACTGTCCAGGTGCCCAAAGAGAAGCTGATACAACAGATTCACTACGAGAGAAGTGGTTTTTTATGACTGAATGGAATTATTCCCAGTATTTTCCACGTATTTTATAATTAACGTCTTTCATATTTCCCGATAAACAGAATTTCACATTAATAACCAAGAGATAGTGGATTCACGATAACAACATAAAAAATATCATCGTAAAGATCAAGTTTCACTTAGTTAATTGTTAAACTTTCAATCATACATAGATTTCTGATCTAAAATTAAACATTTGATACAATAAATTCATGTAAACATATGTAAACTATCATATGGTTAGTAATGAATAGTAACTTACTGCGATAATTGATGACAACAGATCAATATTTCTGAAGATGTACATTTATCAAAAGAATTCAATTCATCAAAGTTTCTTAATTGAGATGATGAAAAATTTTTGTCCATTTTTGTCATACAATTTTCATTAAAATTCATATAATAATCTGATATTTCATTGATTGGATATTGATAATTATTTGATCGATTATTTGTAAATATTGACGGTGAGTTTGACAAACGATAATAAGATTGTTTACAATAAAAAATTAACATACGAGCCCAACAATATTTCCCACATTTTAATCGTAATCGATAAAATGAAGTGACTACCGGTTGATTTTCATTGACTAAAATTATTTCAATTTTTTTTTTGGAAAAAAGAAAAACAATGAAAAAAAAATGATTAAAAAAAAGAAACATCTATAGCGAAGAAATGACAAATCATACAAAACAACGGAGTAGTTGGTTGTTGAACATTAAGTAAACAAAAAAACGACACATTGTTTTGAACTCTTTTATTGATTAAACCATTTTCATTGGAATTTCGTCGTTATTTTATTCTCCTTTATAAGTGAGGTTATAACAGGCTATTCAGTTGGTTCAGTAATTCCCAAGGTAGAAAACAAAACAAATATTTGTACTGGTATACTGCTTAAAAAATATCTTTGAAGACACATCAGCATAATATAGCAAGGATGTGAATAAAATTAATAGACTGAATAAAATATCGTAGATATATATCTTATGTAAAAGAACATAGATCTAGAAGTCAGTGGTTATGTAATGAGTAAATGTTGATAATAAGCAAGAATAAAATGAGTAAATCTCAGTTAGTTAAATCAAGTAAACGGAATACACCCATTAAGATATTAATATATCTGTCATGTATTTCAGTACGTGTGCTTGATTTAGTTTCATTGGGGGGGGGTGATTCGAGGTAGGATCATAATTGAACAAAAATAGATAGAATTTTCATTAAAAACAGCAATACGGATGGAAAAAAGATACCGTATTTTATGTCGAAATAAACCATTCTGATGTTAATGTCATTTTGAAATGAAAGAGGTGAACGAATGCGTTTAGTAAAATATAATAAATTCTACATGTTTTGTGAGCAGATAACTGAATTGCCAAACATTTTAAATGAAAGATCACAAATTTAATTACGAATTTTGAATATGGTAAGCTTAAAAACTGGTTGTGTAAGACGTGTGTTGTGATCCCTTATTTTTCCGTAAAACAAAACGCTTAAGAATCTGGAAGTAAGCTACAAACATTTTTCTGAATCAGAATCAAGTGGAAACTTGCCAGAAACTTATAGAAAAATAATGGAATACGTGTCACATCCTTAGTGGATAATCACCTATGTGGCCATTAAATTGTGATTCCAGCAGCTTCCAGAATGTCAGGGTTACTTATAAACCTATAAATACCCTTACTTATTGTACATAAACTAGACTTGGAAATAAAGCTTCATTTTACAAATTCCGCTTTCACATTGCTGTTCAGAATCCAAGCATAGAAAAATTAAGAGGAACTAATAGACAGTTAGGAAGCCGCTGTCTAGCACTTTAGTGCCACACTGGTCATGTTGTCAAAAAAACAACAAATTTTGATTAATTTGAAGATTGTCTAGTCAACCAGCAGTACATTATATTTAACCATTTACTAGACCAGACAGATACTTTCAGTTTCCTGTTTGTATATCACAGAGTATTCTACTATTAATATGAATAGTTCCAGAAAAATCCGGAAATACAATAAGCTGTATACATCATTATAATAATTCAAGATTCTCTATCGAGCATAGGTCGATACTGAAAACAAGTATACCAATAGGAATTAAAATTAAACCTGGATATATATATACATATACAATAAGCAATAAACAATTGTCGAGACAATAGATGCAATTTTTTATGTGATTAAATAGAAACGATTGTGATGTCATTACTTAAAAGTACAACGACAAAAACAACGAGAATCTGAAACAAGTTAATAAACTATGACGTCTACACCAGAAATTTCATTCTGCCATTCACTATTGTATCATTCATTTGTAAACAAAATAATCATGGTAATAATAATAGTTATTTAATTTAACCGGGAAATTAATTTGCACATACTAAACAATAATTTTAAATTATATTAGTACAGAGATGAGATGATCTTGTTTGTTTAGATTGAGATAATAATAGATAAGAGTTAGCTATTTATCTAGTTTCAGTGGGGAGGAAATCACATATTTATAATAGACGATAAAGGATTTAGTAAGGAATCAAATAACATTGAATACTTCTCTTCTGCTTGAAAACAGAATTATTCAGTAGCGAATTAATTAAATCCAGCAATACCTGACGACTACATAATCATCATCGTTATCTAACCAGTTTAGTTTACAATTCATTAGTTCATTTTGAGGTTGAATTAGAAAACTAAGACAGTGATTACTGATCACCATTACGGGTTGAAAAAGTGACTAAGTATAAAGCATAGTTTTCTTTATTAAACATTTAATGATAACTTCATGTTACATTTAGTTATGTTGTGAGTAAACAATTATGTCCTAATCTAAATGAAATAACTGATATAAGGAAAATCACTCTGATCTAGCATAAATATTATATGTTTATGTTTATTCATATAAATAAACAGGTACTGAATACACTAAAATATTCTCTAATGTAAGGATCTGTTACAGTAGAGTAACTAGAATATTTTCGATTCAATGGTACATTCTAGATTGAAGAATAATGTAACTTTCATTGATCAAAGCTGATCAACTAACTTTCAAATAAATACACAATTACATTCTAACAACAGTCAATCAAGTCGTTTTACTGTCTGATTAGAAATGTGATTATTCATTCATGTACATTGAAGGTGTGTAATTCAGCGTAAATTAATGTTCTTCTTCAATATTAACTTATTGTAAAAGAGACTGAAAAAACTAACTGGTATTTCTGGGCTTTTAAATGTTTTCTCACGACCATAACCTATTCCTGAATAAAATTATTTCAATAAATATTGGACATCACAAGAAACGCATAATGAGAATTAATATTTGTAGGATTGTTTTCTCACTAAATATTGTATACTGATGAATTATTTTGAATCGAATGAACAAACCTCTTGATAAATCCCGTTTCTACTGTTTAAAACCTATGAAGTTGATAGTGTTTAGGAATTGAACGAATCAATCCGGAGAACAGTTTTTTTATGGCACATACTGATTCATTTATTTATCCTACTTTAAAATCACTTCTAATCTACTTCACTAACTTTAACGTACATAAAGTAACCTCATCATATCGTTTTTAAAAAAAACTTGGAATGGATATTTTATTGAAACATTGTTCAAAATTTCAACAAACAGCTTGACAGAAATTTTCATATAAAAGACATCAAAACGTAAGAATTATATTTAAAACAGTCAGCTCTTCCCCTGAAGTAGCTCGAACAAGTTTGACGGGCGAAACATTTAAATTATTTAAATTTCTATAACTGCGATTATTTTTAACGTTCATTAACATCAGCTATATTGATTGAATCCTTCTACTGAGTATAATAATGCACTGAACTATAACTGTCAAGAAGTTGATGCTTTAGCAAGTATTCTTATAAAAATCAACATGACAGTAACTTTTGATTATCAAATTTTTATGACGGTTTAACAATTTTTTTATCAAAACGATATATTTCATAAAATTTCAACAAATAAAATACATATCTAATGAGAAATATTAATATCATTTATAATTTGCTCAATATGTGCGAGTATAAAACCATAATAAATTCTTAAAGTTAAACAAAAGAAACAGTAAAATTTCGTGGTTTAATAACTTTTAAAGATGATTATGCAATAGAAAATGTGATATTAATTTGATTGACATACACTAAACTATATATATATATATATATATATATATATATATATATATATACTTACGCCTGTTACTCCTCGTGAAGGAGCATGGGCCGCTCACCAGCATTCTCCATCCAACCCTGTCCTGGGCAATCCCTTCTAGCTCCGTCCAGTTGTAATTCATCGTTTTCATATCTGCTTCTATTATCCGACCTGTGTTCTTTGGCCTTCCTCTTTTTCGCTTCCCTTCAGGATTCCAAGTTAGGGCTTGCCTCGTGATGCAGTTTGACGATTTGTGTAATGTATGTCCTATCCATTTCCATCGTCTTTTCCTAATTTCTTCTTCAGCTGGAAGTTGGTTTGTTCTCTCCCACAGAAGGTTGTTGCTGATGGTATCCGGCCAACGGATGTTGAGTATCTTGCGTAGACAGCTATTTATAAATACTTGTACTTTCTTGATTGTGGTTGTTGTAGTTCTCCAAGTTTCAGCTCCATACAGTAGAACTGCCATGACGTTCGTATTGAAGATTCTTACTTTGATATTGGTTGAAAGTTGTTTTGAGTTCCATATGTTCTTCAATTGTAGGAATGCAACCCTTGCTTTGCCGATCCTCACCTTTACGTCTGCATCGGATCCTCCTTGTTCATCGATGATGCTTCCTAGGTATGTGAAGGACTCTACATCTTCCAGAGTTTCGCCATCAAGTGTGATTGGATTGCTGTTCTCCGCTTTAAATTTGAGAACCTTAGTTTTCCTTTTGTGTATGCTGAGGCCTACTGATGCAGAGACTGCTGCTACACTGGCTGTCTTCATCTGCATCTGTTCGTGTGTACGTGATAGGAGGGCTAGGTCATCTGCGAAGTTCAAATCGTCTAATTGGTTCTGAGCTGTCCATTGTATTCCGTGTTTTCCTTCAGATGTTGAGGTCTTCATAATCCAGTCGACCACCAGAAGAAAGAGGAAGGGAGAGAGTAAACAGCCTTGTCTGACTCCGGTCCTTACTTGGAATGCATCTGTCATATATATATATATATATATATATTACAAATTTTTATTCCTCCCATGCTTATTTTTAAGACAACACTATTTATAATATGAACTCTATCTTTTCTTTTTAACAGAAATTTATTATGAAGTAAACTATATTGATCGTGAATTAGTATATGGCAAAATAATCAAAATATTATTTAGTTAGATGAAAGGAAAGAAATGTTATACAGATTCATTTCAGACAAACAATTTGGCATTAAAAACGAAATTGTTTTTCCTCTGACACTAGTGTAACACATATTAGTTTTTCGCAGGAATTCTCATTAAGCCTAACAAGAAAAATATCCACTGTAGTAAATTAATGTGAGATATTCATTCATAATGACATACACTATTAAAAAATAGAACAGTTGTTATTGTATAACTTGAATTATATGTCATTACTGATATTATCAATAGAGGCAATGTCAAAATACTGCTGATCACTATAAATAAACAATGTATTTTCTCAATATAAATGTATATAAAAACAGCGATTCCAATGAGACATTGATGGAAAAACTAGGACTATTGTCAGTGAAGATATTTTACTTTTCGACCACATTTACTGAAGCTATACAATCGCATGTATATTTATTTACAATATATTATATTGCGAAATAGGGTGCGACTGCTTCACACAATTGTTTTGGGAACAACCTTTTACTATTCAATATTTCCGAAAGCGATGTGACAATCATTTCCCCATGTAATATATATATATATATACATATAATTGTAGGATTTCAGTAAATATTGTCGAAAAGAAAAATCTCTTCACTGATAATAGGCCTTGTTTTCTGATCAATGTCGCAATGAAATTATTGTGTTGTTATGCATATATATGTTCAGTGAAAATGTTATGCAACCTAACTGACAATAAGAAGAAAAATTACACAACCTATATTACAGAGATTAAACATTAGAAAATCCTAATCAATTAAAATTTATGATTATTAAGATAACAAAGAAAGATTAGTTCAGCGAAGAGTTCTCTTTTCGGCGAATTCATTTTCAAAGCTGTACAATCGCAAATATATATACTTATTTTTACAGGGTGATAATAATACTGATAATAAACTTATGATATACATGGTGACAGTGAGGTTAAATAAACAAAGGTATTAGAAAAATTTTTTAGAAACAAGGAAAGAACATTTTTCGCAGCAACATTGCGAATATTATTCTCCAGCCGATCACTGTTCGCCAATAATCTGAAAGATAAATTATCGCATCTGACCAATTCAATGTGCATTTACCAAGTTACCTGCTCTTGTGGAGCTAGGTATATAGGTCGTTCGATGCGTACTTTATCCAAAAGAATTCAAGAACATTGTCCGGCGTGGCTAAGAAGAGGAGGCAGCGGTTCAATAAGAAGTTCTATAATCGAACACCTTGTGAACACAGGTCACTCAATCAAGACAGACTCTGCGTTCAAAGTCATCTACAAGGTAAGTAGAAACCTTCCTAAGACAATTAGACTACATCTCCTTTGCATTGCCGAGGCAATAGCCATACATTTTGAAAAACCAGAATTATGTGTACAAAAGAGACTGGTACAACCTCTTCTTTTACCGTGGTCTTAATGTATTAAAATTTTTTTTCTTTTTTCTCTTTCTCATTACTCTTGTTCTTTTACAGCCACCTGCTTCACCTTCCATCTTCCCTTCAAATCTTGTACCCCCAACCGGTTTGTTTTTATTTCAACGATCATTCCGATTACATTTCATCTCTGTTTCAACATTTTATGTTATTTTATCATGCTGCGCTACTCTTACCCGATGACTATCTAAGCCATTATCTATCAAACCTTCCTTGTTTCTAAAAAATTTTTCTAATACCTTTGTTTATTTAACCTCACTGTCACCATGTATATCATAAGTTTATTATCAGTATTATTATCACCCTGTAAAAATAAGTATATATATTTGCGATTGTACAGCTTTGAAAATGAATTCGCCGAAAAGAGAACTCTTCGCTGAACTAATCTTTCTTTCTTATTTAATGTCATAATGGGTGTATTCCGTTTATTAAGATAACGACAAAGTCACGAACCAAATTAATGTCTACAATATATTAATTAATGGCTTTCAATTAAAGGTCAAAAGTTCAGTCTTCAAAATGTCACAGTATGAATCGAATAGAAATTTGAATAAAAAAATCTGAACATGATTTGAAATAATAAGCTTTAACAATTAAATCACTTCATAATGTTAAAGAATTATTGTACACCATTTTCAAGTACATAAATTTATTTAGAAAACTTATGAAATAGCTATAGTTATAATCATATTGAATAAACAAAATTACCAAGGTACAACATGTTTAATTATGCAAAAGAACACGAGATAAAAGAAAACAGAATCTAATATGGAATAAAGCTCAAATTATATTATTCATAGTTGTTTTAAATGGTAAACAGTATGTTAAAGCAATACTTATGTAGAACAGATGCTAATCATTCAATACTACAGAGTAATTAAAGTTTTTAAGTATTAAGTGAAAAAGGGGTTGCATCATTTAGCAAAGTAATCAGAAATTATGAAGCGCTTACTTTGTGTAATAAGTAAGAAGTAATTAGTAATAATCTAAAGAATAAAAGCTAAAGATGATCGTCCACTTAATAAAGAAGAGCGAGAAGGCAAAAACTAGCAATATTTGTAAGATATCTGTGATTAAATACCAGTAATTTGCGAATATCCTCTACCCTTGATGGTCAGGATTCGCAGCCGTAAGGTGAAGCAAAACGAACTGCTGAGCAGTATATTCATCTTTTAATTGGTAGACGGGTAACTCTCCTACGCCATAGGTAATGGAAGTTGACAAAAGCGAAACGAGTTTTTTGAATCCGTGCTGAGATTTCATCAGACACCAACCCATTATGGCTGATCTGACTTCCAATATAAGTGAAATTGGCGACTCATTCGACTAATTTACTCCCTATCTTTAGTCCAGGTATTGATGCAGGCCAATCCTGAAGCAACAATTTACATTTTGAGGGGGATAAAAGCATCCCAAACATCCAGGCATTGTTGCTTAGTGCTACCAAAAGGCTGAATTTTATCAGTATCTTCACTAAACAGGACTATGTCGTTTGCATATTCTAAGTCAATAAGTGAACTTCCTAGTAGGAGATTGATTACCGAAAATTCAGATGACGCGAACGAGTTAACCTAGATTAGAAATTCTTTACTGAGAATGCATTTTGTGGTTTATCAATAGGTAAGACTATATTATTGAAAAAAGGAATTTTAAGCTGTCACGGATAATTGGAATTATCAATGAATAAAATTCAATGTTGGATAGCACTGGTTATTTGATATATTGTACATTTATAATATATATGGCGAATAGAATGGGTGGATGATAATACTGTTGATGAATAATTTCATCAATAGATCCAACTTATTCAATTACATGCAGAGAAAGTTTTAAATAAACTAAGTAATTTGATGGTCAACAATTATAACGAGTAATCGTAAGCTTAGAGAGCCTTAAGAACTAGTGTGCATTGCAATCTCGTAGTTCACGTGTGTACAATCACATGAGTAACAAATCAACACTATAAAGGACTTGTGACCACTCATCAATTACGTTCTGATTGATGGTTTAATAATGAGAAAATTTACCGGCGCAAAAATAATAAAAACAGAAAAGAAGCGTTAATTAATGACTTATGAGACATGACAATTTGTCTCGGTATGATTATCAATTAGCAAGGCCATTAGATCTTTTTGTAAATCATAAAAATGTGAAGAATCTACATTCTGGTATTTATATTGTAATAATGATTCAAATGAAGATGTGATTGAACAATCTACACAACCAGTCAATCTAATCATCAATCTTTGACCCCAAAAGGTCATTTTCGATGCGCCAAATATATAACACTAGAACCTACTATAGTAGTCAACATACATGAGCCTAATATTCAAAAAATTCAGAAACATAGTAGAATGGATGTGTAATATCACTATCTTTTATTACATACTAATGTGATCTATACAACGTTGTTAAAAAGTATTGCCTAGGACGAAATGTTATGTAAGTTTATATACTAAATCCTGTTTAAGTATTAAAAAGTGAATAGGATGAATGAATGAATTACAAGTTCGATCGTAATGATAACCATAATTTCACAACGTTGAAATTTACATTAATTTATAGTCAAGTTACATTACACGTTTAAGTTAGGTTAAATAAAGAATGTAGGATTGAAAAACTCACTTTATTGTAAAAAATCGACATACATTCAAAATACCATTTCCCATTTCATAAAGATCAAGAAAAATAAACAATGCACAACGAATATCATCATTATAAGTTGGAATACAAACATTTACATCGTTATGATAACATAGATAACATTGCAAATATTATTATCGACTTGATTATTAAACCAGTCAACTAACCTATATTTATAGCTTCAGATATATGCGCCAAATCATCGATATGTATCAGATCGAATAAACATTTATTTAAAAGGTCGACTTTTGTATAACCCGACTGGGTTAAGAAACTAAACATGAAGAGAAAAATTGAGAAATATAATTTGCAATATTAGTAATTAAAAATTCGAAAAAAATGCTTGTGAGAAAAGCAATATCATATGTGCATAACTTTGAAACTAGAATGAAACAGTTCGATAAACCACACCTATTTCTAATGGTCGCTACGAAATTACAGATATTCTGTAATAAAAAATCCATACAAAATAAACTATTTTTACAAAACTACCTCATTCAATGATTGTGATGGATTTCTTGATGTTTTATGGTGGGAGAACATGGATTATGGATATGAGACAATAAAATTACCTATAACACTGAATGAAAATAGAGTTAAACTGAATTCTAAATTCGGAAGATGTACACTATCGCATAATTACCAGTTCGATTGAATGGTAATCTGTACTCGACATGAAAACACAAACTCGTAAATTTAATTTGATGCAAGTCTATAGAACATCTGGTTTATTATTATGTCCTTAACTAGAATAATGAAACAATTTTTTGGTGATCTCTGATTCTGAATAGTTAGTCAGCTCTATATACCTGAATGATATTATTGATTGATACAAATCACACCTTCAAATTATAAAAAATTTAAGTTATGACATTTTAATAGTGAATAAAAGTAGAGAAACTTAGTATAAAGAATTAATCTAAGGTAAAATAAAAAAGGGATGTAGTATACCAAATCAATAAACAATATGAATCTAGACTCTGTTTATGAGTTGACTGATTTAACTTATGAAAATAGTTACTTAACACTTAACTACTCTAGATGTATGCTATTTCAGTCAAGCCTCCACAGAAGGTAAATCCAGTCGGTTCTCTGTATTGACTAGATGAGGTCAAGTGAATGACCATACTTGGATCCTGTATGCGTGTTTCAGAGATGTTTGTGATGTGTTAGCTGCGTTCTTCAAAAGGACTTACCAATGATCTCAAGCTTTGGTCAGCCATCTTCATTAGCCTTGTTCCAATCTACTTATATACCAGCACATATCCACTCATCGAGGTAAGTAGTAGCTAGACATATGCAACACATGCAAAAACCGCCCTCAATCAATGAAGATCTACAACCTCGTCTACTGATTTGTCATATTAACTTAGTATTCTGTATCTAGCCTTAACATTGTTCACTTGATCAACTCAAGAAATGATAGCAATAGTTTGAAAACACTTGGTTATCAAAAACCTATACAAACAAACAATAACCTAATTGACGAACTAATTCACTTGTTCAAAATCAAAATCCCTATCACCGACGTATTCCGCTTGTAACAAAGTAGAACCTTTGTTACATGAATCTCAGTCAATAATGTCTTTATTTGACTTGTATTTCAATTGTGAACAACAATCAACTTCATTAATAAAATTTAGCACTGAAATAAGTACATTCAAATTTTCAGTACAAATATATTATATAGGCGAGGCTATAATTTGTGGACGACATTTGAGCGACGCTGAAGTGACCTTGGGAATGTCCACCTACATACTAGGGCTAAATAAGTATTATAAACCAATGTGAGGAATTAGAATTATTATTTACAGTTGATGGTTAGGGCTAGGAATTAGATTTGGGGCTTTCATTCCGAACTGACATAAACTAAAATGTCAAAACGTTAGTTAGTCAAATGGATAAAGAATTTCTCGTCAAAATCCAACACTTGTTATAGTAAATCTGGTTGATTCGTCCATAAATTATAGTCTCATCATTATATATAATTTATTGGATAAAAGGATTTAAAACTAAACCAAACTAAAACAAAATATACTTACTCATTAGCAATATCTATAAATTGTAGATTTTTAGTTGAATGACATGTTTTACATGAATTTGATAAGCCTGTGCAACATGAATTATTATTTTTATTGATAAATTTTACCAATGTATTACTTTTCTGTACAATATTACTTCTGTTTTCATCAATTATTGAAAATGATGAATTCCTAGTGAAATCATAATCGTTATTCTTGTTTTTATTATAATTAATATTATTACCATTCATAGTATTTTTATTATTACGATCTGAATTATTATGGATATTACTACAATTAATAATATGGTTATCATCAGTAAAACATGATTCATGATTTTCTTTATTGACATAATTATGCATATTATTGTTAATATTTGATAAATGAATAGGTTGTAATAAATATATACGAAGATTTACATCATTTGCTCGATTTGGTTTAAATGAAGAATCAGCTTCACTACCGCAACTATTATTACTAGAATTATTATTTGAATCATTGTTATTGTGTAACAATATTTCAGTTGCATTACAATATCCAATATCAGTTCTATTGTTGATGTTATGATTCGGATTAAAAGGAAGGTTATTGGTTTGCTGGCAATTTATATGATTATTTGAAAACGGTGATGGGGATGATGATGATGATGACGACGACGAACCACAGCCGATATCTAGAGTGAAATCTCCATGTTTTGAAAATTTATTTCTTATACATAAATCTGAACTATTCCAACATAATACGTACTTTGAAAAACACAATTCGAATAGAATAAAAACAAATAAACGAAATATAAGATAATTTGTTGGTAATAAATTTATCAAGTGATAAAATCATAAAAATAGGTTCAACGATATTCATTAAATAACTAGATAATAATAAACAAAATACACCTGAGACGTTTACGTTAGATTCTACAATGTTTACATCTATCCAGCTGTTGAGTTGATTAATTCAGCTTGGTATATGACGGATAAAAATTTAACTCCACATGTTTAGGAAACTGAAAAGGACTAGAAAATATAACACTGCTGATTAGAATAACAGGTACTAATTTAAAATGTTAAATAAATTTTATTTTTCGTGCTTATGTGTAAACTAAGGGAGATAAGAATAAAATTTGGGTGACCAGAAGTAACGTAATGCGATGTAAATTAGTAACGAAATACAGATTTGTATACTCGCTTTTAAATCAAACGTTTTTTGTAAGGTGAATGGAGAATACTATTCTCCTGTTAAGACACAAGTATATAAAGAAGGAACGATGATTACACTCCGTTTAGACAGGCGACAGTTTATTTGCACAGGAATGAGACCAGGATGTATTGGCGCTTAATACTGAATTTTCGCGACGTTCCAGAGATTTCCAGACACTGACGATTTTCATCTGACATAGGTATGGATAATCATGATCTGTAGTGGTAATTAATAAACCAGGAATCTGACAACAAAATTAATAAATGATTCAGACATATAAACAACATTGACTACATTCCATTCGTCATGGATAAAAGTTTAGTCTTACAATCTGGGAAAATTAGCATGTAAAATGTTTGCCAATTTACATAAATGAACAAACTATTTGATGTATGAAATCTTATCACTTGAAGTTAGGATTTTAATTAACAACGTTAAATATTGAGTTCATGATACACTTAATATGTAAGTAAAATGATTTCTAACTACGTCGAAGCAGTAAGATGTTGTACAGTGTTAAGCGCAACCCATTCACAAAGTCGAACTACTAACGTTGATCATTAACCGAATAGATAATACTTTCACTATTAAAATTATGTATGTTATTATTCTATAGACAAAAATTCCAGTATTTTGTATACAGAAACGGTTTGACGTAGTATTTTCGCCTATGTGTTCTATTATTGATAAAAACATTTACCCCTATCTGGTCAAGATCAAAACCGGTAAACAAAAAACAATTCATTCAAACACATACATACACATAGAATTGATTTTTAAACAGCACAGTCTACCGAAAACAACTGGAAAATATCAAGGAACATAAAAATTATATGTAATCAACAATATAGAGATTTTAAGTCTATAAAAAGAGGAGAGAGAGAGAGAGGAACTGAGCGCGCGAAAACTATAGACAAAATAACGAAATTTTAGAGATAAAATAAACAGTAAATAAAAAACACATGATGATAACAACGAAAAAAACAAGAACATATGGTGCTGTCGTCATTCATTACATCTATTTGCCATGATAATGAATTCTAAAAAAAAGCAGTAAATCAGAGAGAATGTAAAGAAAGAAATTGTTCAATCCAAATACAAAACAATGTGGCCTTTGATAGATAATCACTATTTGTCATTATTTCTTTTGAAAACATTAAGTGTAGTTCAATGCAGTAAAAGCTAACACATACAATAGAGTTGTGTGATAACAGAGAGGGAGAAGGTGGTTATGTTGAAAAAATCTTAGTTGGCAAAAAAAATATTCTAATAATAATGAGCATTAAATTAAATATTGTGACATTCTATTGATAAACAAATTGGAATAAAGTAACTTTGAAATAAAACGATAATAATAGAACTGTTAGGATCAACATAAATTTGTTGAAAAATGCTTCTTTTTTAAAAAAAATGAGAACATAATCTCTTCATAATGTTAATAGAATTAATTTACTGATTGAGTAAATTGAAAATATGTACATATGAAACCTTTATGGGTTGTTTTATTAATTATTTCAATTGACTAATAATATGACGTAACAAACATGAGGATGGAGCGAATAGTTAAGTAATGCTTAATCCTAAAACCAACTTTCGTTTCCTTAATTTTTTTTTGTAGATAATTTAAAAGTTCGTTGAAGGTGTATTTTTGTGGAAAAGTAAGTTTGTTGTTTGCAGCCTGTTATTTGGTTAACAAGTGTCATCGGTAACTAAAAGATTAAGCATTCACAATGATACATATATAATGCGCTTATCATGTAATCTATTAAAAACAAATTTTTGGTTCAATCTTTGAACTTAATACACACAATATATCCCAATTGGATACTACTATTAGGCGAGGAATAATTGTCCCTATAATCACGTTTTCCTTTCATTGTTATGTAAATGACCTATCAACTGAATAAGTACCTTAAAATTATAAATATGTTAAGCAATTTTTTTTTACCACCCTTGTCTTTGTGACCAATATTTTCCAAAAAAGTATTTTGCATTCAATAAAGAAGACTTATTTTCACGTCAACTATAATTATTATTTGACATTCATCTATACATGAGTGCTTGCGTCAATACTTCAATCAGGTGACCAGCTATCGTTGTGCGTAATCCATCAATAAACATTCCATCCATCATTAAAACAATAATCTGAAACGCCTCCATAATAAACTTTAAAATAATCAGGATAACCAAACATCAATTATAAGTATAAACATATACCAGTGATATGGTTGATTCATTCGCCAAATACTTGAGTATGAATCACGCTCCAAATATGAGGACTAGTCATACTACGTGGTTGACGAAACCGATGAGGGTGAAACAGGGTTTAAATATGGAAATTCACGACTGACTGAAACTCAAATATCTTAACCACTATGCCACTTCTTCAAATACTAATTAGGTTTTACTCAGTCAATATTGATCGGTTAATAAATAATATATTCAGAAACATCCAAATAGCTGAGTCTTTAAACTAGACAGCATCACTTATTCTCCTGAACAAAACTAACATATCTATATATAAACATTCCAATATGTTAAATAGCAAATTATAAATGTACTAACAATAATTAGTGGGTAGCTATTTTGTCTCTTTGAAAATGTATGACTGTTATGTATTTAAGTGAATTAAATAATAGAATTCATCCACAAATATATGTACTTCATCCAGTCACTTCAATCCAGTATTGTTCCTATCATTTTTCATGTTAATATTTTTTTTAAATTTTTCATATAAATATACTTACAGCTATGTGTATAAATCGAGGTCTATTATGAATTCATGTTTTATAGATAGTAAGCTGCATATTAACATATATTTCAAATTAATCATTGTATAGCTATATTTATCGGTTTGATGTTAAATAAGAACGTTTATTTCTGATTAAATGAATGCCCTTGACTCCAGGTTTATATATATTTTTTTTCAAATAGTTTTACATAGTTAATTGGCACTTTTTAATAAAACTTGGATTATCTAGATATCGTGTTACTTGGTTAATTGAGTGAACGTTGTTAATATCGAGTTTATATGATCATATTAACTTATTATGATTCATTGATTAGGAAATTTTAAGGGTTATGTAATAATTTATGATTTGGAGAATGACTAATACAGAAATGTCCATTTCGAAGATGACTTAGATTGAAGAGTGATAATCTCATAAATAAGGATCAAGTTTTTTTTCTGTCACATTCCTTCCTGAAACACGGTCAAAACTACATTTTTGATTGGTGTTAAACCTCAAGGTTGATTGTATTTAGGCCGGACATAAATATACTATAACTACGTTAAACGACAAAGTATTAAAACTTTAACAAGCTCATAATTTTTCCTCTGTAAAACTATGCTCTGAACTTCAAAATAGGTTGCATGTTGCTTCCATCATATCTGATGAGTCATGACTAGTCATTAATATTAACTACTCGGAAGATTACACTTTGTAACATACAATATAACGAGGTTCTATGAATTCGCCTTTTGAATCACTGGTCATTCCCAATTTTTAAAATACTTTTCTTGTGCTGCAGTTATAATTAGCGAACAATTTAAAATCTTTTTTCGTAACATGGAATAATATTTCTTCATATATGAAGCAGAGCCTAACCATTTTTTGCGTTTATTAATCGTTTATTGTATAATATAATAAATTATTGTAAAGAAAAATAAACTGCACACTGAAATAGTTAATGACTATTTGATTTTTCTCCACCAATTGACAATATGTTAAATGAAATACTGGTCATTATCAAAAAAAAACTGTCAAGTCATTTCATTTAGATTATAACGGTTGAGTTGTAGATTTGTTCCGAATCATCATCGCCCCATGTTCTAAATGAATTATTGACACCATTTATTCAGTAGTTTAAAATTTTAATGGTTGACATCTTTCTTATTGACTGTAATATTTTACATTATACAATTTATCTGGAAAATACTCTAATTCGACTGAACAGGTTATTTTTCTATTTAACTTAAAATCACCAGTTGGATCAGGTTATCTATACATTTTTGATTTTGATAATTTGACGATTTAAGAATACTAACAAACTGACCTGTTTACATTGTAGTAAACGATTGAATAATCACATCGTATAACCCAATGATTATTTTGGTATTTACTTACTAGATTTCGCAGTACAGTTAATTCCGATGGGCTAACTAAATCACTTTATTGTTCTAATCATTTTGGTTACTGTGAGATAATTTGAACCATAGACTTAACTCTATGAAGCCTAATAATCGTTAGCTAAAACGTCAAATATACTACACACTGTTGAGGAATTCAGAGTGAAAAACATGAGCAACCATTTTTTACCTGCTAATGATTCCTTAAACATGTGTTTGTGAGGAATTTTTGAAAACTGAGTTCATCAGTTTATGTTGGTGTTTCAACTTTGTAATTAAATGTCTTGATATTTCCCACCTTTTGAAAGGAATACTCGTGGCTAGGATGCACGTTTCCTGCAAACTGAATCTTTTCAACCGGGTAAACTTCCATTAATTCAAAATGTAAGTTTATTTATGCCTACTTAGAATCCAAATATA